TCCAGTTGTGGTGGACTGCGATTGGTTCATACCTTCCTGAATTTGAGATTCAAACCTCTGGTACAATCTGCCTTCCCACCAAATAAATATAATGTGTTGATATGCATATTTAAACTAGTGTGAGGTCAAAACTGGGCAGGGAGTTTTGTGTGGGAATTAAAAAAGGCCATGGGTTTTTGATAAAAATAATTATTATGTCATGACATTTTTATAGTTTTGAAATCATGATTTTTAATACATTTTTTATAACACATAGAAATATCTTTTTACTTATTTACATATTTCTATAACTATTTTTCTGTGGAAAACATTATTAATTATACTTCCCACAAAACTTAATGGCAAACCTAACTTTAATAATTTATCCAACAAAATATTAGGTATTACATTGTTATAAGCTCCCTTTATATCACTAAATAGTGCTACGACATATGCATTTTTAGAAAATGCCAGATATATGCCATTAATAAATATACTTATATTATCTATTGTACTTTTTTTTTTTTTTTGAAACCATATTGAGTTCTTGGAAATATTTTATTATGTTCCAATCACCATTCTAGTCTCCCCTTTATCATACTATCTGTTCTCTTATTCTAGATTTTTTCTTGTTACCATTTTGTGAACGGTTTACTTAATATATCATTTTCTAATTCCACATATCCATTTAAATCTTCACCAATATTGTAACTAACTCCTGCTGGTGCTATTTTGCCTACTAGAACATCTAACACATCGTCACTACATTTTGATATATTTCCCGATTCACCCATATTTATCATAGCTCTCACCATTTTGAAAAATTTCCTAGCGATCGTTTTAGGTTTTATATTATTTATATAATATTATTTTTACAATTCCATTTTCTTACTGATTTATTCACATTTTTGTCATTTTTCACATTAAGTTCAACATGGATTGGAAAATGGTCAGAACCCAGTGACTCCTTTTGCACCTCTCACTTTATCTTATTTATTATTTCTGATGAGCATAAAGTTATATCAACCGCCGTTTTTGTATTTATAAATATCATAGTCGGACTCCCATTGTTAACTAAATGTAGAATGTTTTCTTCAATTGATTCCAATAGTTCATTACTATATCTGTCACTATATGAGCAACCCCACGCATAATTGTGAGCATTAAAATCTCCCATTACTATACAAGGTTTTGGGATTTTACAAAATAACTATTGCACTTTTGAAATATTTGTTTTGGGAACAACATATAATGATATCAATTTTTTTTCTTATAAACGTTAACTTCTTCAACTGATTCAAAATTTATTTCATATTACCTACTATCTTTTTTATTTATAAATAATGCCGACCCTCTTTATTATCATTCCTATATTTTCCTATACACTTAAATTTTTTAAAATTATATTGATTGTTCTTATTGAACCAGGTTTCTGATAATGCTATTATATCTAATTGTTTATTGAATAACCACTCTTCTAAACTTTCTTTATTTGCATAAAATGATCTAATATCCCATTGCATTATTCTCATAATTTAATCCTTATAAAAAACAATAATAATAAATCAAAACATTAATTAACACAATAAACACATAAATACAATAAAAATAGTTTCTTTCAATATATTTATATATATATATGCACACACAATAATATATTTACACATACATACATACATACATACTCAAACACATATTTATATTTATATCTACATACTCACACATTAACCTTTAATAAATAAATAATTATTCAAATTCTTCAGAATAAACCATTTCTAATGATTTTAGTACTATCACTTCTTTCTATTACTACTAAATCTACCCCTGACCGATGTTCAACACATAGATAAAAGAAGAGTATATAGATCGATCTCTCGGGCCATATTTCGTTGCCACGTTTTTCGGTCAAAACTGTCAATTTGTCCGGGTTAGTTCCCTCTCCCAATGTAGATGGCGCCAGCGTCGACCATGGGTGCGAATATAAAATGCTGAAGAAATGCACCAATATTATATAGACCGTTTGAATTCAAATTTTTTTTTTAAATTAAAAAACCAAAATTGAATATAAAAAAGTGTATAATATCAACAATAACATGTTACATTATACTATTACAATACATATTTATAAGATATGCAATTTGCATAAATGTATATATTATATATTTGTATATATACACATATATAATGTGTACTGTAATATAAATATAAATATAAATATATATATATACATATATATATATATATATATATATATATATACACATTGTATATATATATATATATATATATATATATATATATACACATTGTATATATATATATATATATATATATATATATATATATATATATATATATATATATATATAAATTGCACATAAATGTATGACGATTAGTGAGCTTTATGAACTATGCACAAATAGCATAGAAACGTACATAAATGTATATTATCCACTGTGTATGTGCATATATATATATATATATATATATATATATATATATATATCATATATGATTACAATAGATGCTACTAAGCTTTATACACTATGTACAAATGGCATAGAAATGTACATACATGTACACATTATCCACTATATATATATATATATATATATGTGGGAGTAGTAATGATTATGATAATATATAAAATTAGAAACTCCCAACATAATAAAAAAATATAAATTTATTAACTATAAAAATATTTCGATATCAAAAATATACATGACATGTCCGAATGTTTTTTACAAATAAAAACCAGCCTGCTTGATATCGCCACACACTCCCTGCCCAGTGTTGATCTCACAGTTTAAAAAAAAAAACACAGGGAAACACGTTATAAAAATGTGGTGGGAAAGCAGATTATAGCAGACCAGTGTTGTAATACTGGTTAATTACAAATTTCCATGTTTCGTCAGCAGATCCACCGTATGTGGTGATTCGACCTGCCATGTGGGAGTAGTAATGATTATGATAATATATAAAATTAGAAACTCCCAACATAATAAAAAAATATAAATTTATTAACTATAAAAATATTTTGATATCAAAAATATACATGACATGTCCGAATGTTTTTTACAAATAAAAACCAGCCTGCTTGATATCGCCACATATATATATATATATATATATATATATCTTGATAGTTTTTTCGACGTTGAAACATATTTCAAAGTAACTGGCAGCCCATTCGTCGAAATAAAAAAGGTATAAAGTATAAAAACTTTTATTTTAAGAGTTTATAAAAGTTTTTATACTTTATACCTTTTTTATTTCGACGAATGGGCTGCCAGTTACTTTGAAATATATATATATATATATATATATATATATATATATATATATGTACATATGGTTGTTCAATGTCTTGTGTGGACAGGGTGGTGTGTCCAAGCCTCGCTTTCTTGTATTCAAAAATAGCCCAATTGCAGCACTGCAAAATGAAATGGCCATTTCATATCACACACTATTCTTCTCTGAATTGAGATTGAGTTTTAGCTCACAGACCTGCCCTAAGGCACAGACTCCTATTATGTGTGTGTGTGTGTGTGTGTTTTCATGTCAAAAAACTATCTAAATTATATTTTTTTTTCTAAATCGCTAGAAAATTTAAATATAATTTAGACATTATCTATACCATATAACTAAAGTATTGAGAATTGATCCGAATAATAAATACCAAACAAAAGAGATAGAAGTTACTAAAACTCTCTTCATGCGCTCAAAAGTTAACTTAAAATCCCAGCAACAACAATTCAAAAAGGTCATAAATTTATATTGCAATCAAAAAAGAGAAACATATTCGAAAATAAGGAATAACATTTATGCCTAAGATATTCTTGTAAATTAACTTTGTTTATATTCATCTTGGTACTCAATCAAATAATGATAAGTTACATTAAATCTATATACAGTCTCTATCTGAAAACCTTTTCTGTACATTGCGTTAATCTGCTTTTAAATGTTGATCAAAATATCATTATCATCATTATCACAAAGAAAAAGAAATCATTATGTTCTCATAACAGTAACTGGCAAAAGTTCAAGAAAGTTATATGCAAACACATTTGCCAATAAATTAAAGGACAAAACCAAAATTACTTTTATCTGAAAAGCATATCAACAGCTTACTAAAATAAATTACTATATGGGGATGTCATTTGCAAACTATTCTGCTGTTATCCGGTAAATTATTGTACAATTCATGATCTATATACTTCTCGACATCTGTTAAATGTATTATCACCAATAATAAACAGAAATAAACTGTTTAGCAAAATATACTCCATGAAGTAGACACTTATTTACAATTTCTGCATTTGCTAAAACATTTAACAACTTCATTATTTATTACTATAGATTTATAAAAAAAAAACACATTCATTAATCAATCACAAAAAATATGAACATTGCGTACAGTTCAAGTATCAACTATTTGATTTGAAAAGGACAAGAGCATGATCAGAAAATAAACTTTCTCTACCATTTGCCAGTTCCTGAAAACCAACAATATGATCGTTTTTACAGTCGTTAAAGAATGCAGATGATAATGATATTTCATCAAACATCAGAATACAGTTTTTGCTATTCACATATTTTTTCTGTGCCATAGCTAAACCCAATGTTTGGAAAAGGGTCTCATTAATACCACTATACAAAGGAATTGCTGAGAGCAACTTTCTCAATGTTTGAGGAGCAGGCAAAACAAATATTTTTCTCCAAAAGTAATAACCTCTTAGAGAAATTGTATGCAGAGTTAAAGCAAGAATTTTATCATCAAGTGTAAATTTTCTTCCTTTTCGCTTCTTTGTATGTTCTCTTAGTTGACTTAATATAAAATTACGAGCCCTCTTATTTAATGTTGCTGGAAGATAAGCAAAATTGTCAGCACATTTGACACTTTCTTGTAACTTCTGCCTCAATATTTTTTTGTATATTTATCCTTCTGACTTCTTTTCTCAACACATTTGTTATATGGTATAAATTTTGTTTTTTGCATATCTGGTCTCTGAAGTGCTTATATCTTGAGTTAAGAACCTCTGCTGAAAAAAAAATATCTAGAATCATTTGCTACGAACTTAATTTGTAGTATAAAAAATTTTAAATAACTCACCTTTCAGGGACGGTTTTCCATCTTCAGTTTTGCCAGAACAATACAAAAAAGTGTTATAAAAAGAATAATTTTTCAATAACATAGCTTCCAGAAAGGGATTTAGTAAGACGGGTGTCTTGTATTTATAACCTTAAAATTCCTAGCATTGATACTGTTAAATGTCTCAGTTATTGAGCTACAATAAAAAATTATATCAGAAGTTCTAGTAATAGATGCGAGTATTTTGTTGTATACATATTGATAAAACTTATTCACCTAGTTCTCACCATCAGTGCTCAGCCCGGCCTCCAGTTATTTTACTAATCATTTTACATATTACGTCATTTTCTGCAGGAAATACACCATTTTCGCATATTTGTTGATGTTCCGCATTATTGTACACCGCACTTTGACATGATATTTGTTATAAACTTTTAACAAACATTTGACACTTTGACACTAAAATATTATTCCGCCATATTAGATTCTCGAATATTTTCTTTAGCCCGTTTTGTAGCGCTACCAGCGCTCCAAACGAGGGAGAGGGAACTAAAAACGAGATTACAGATGTTTGTTCCGTGATTACCGACCATGGTTCAACATTTCTGTTGTAATACTTTCTCATATAATTCCTCTTATACGGCTTATTAATTTTCATTAACACTTCTTTGTCATAATAATCTTCTTTTTTCTTCCAATTTGATAGTATTTGATACCTATTACTACCTATATTTGAATTCCGTGCAGTAGTATCAATGATTTCTGGGTAACTATTTTGATATATTTCAAACTGATTGCTGTTACCAACTGCTTTAGCGTATCCATTGTTTTGCACTATGTTTCTTGTTTTAAAATATGTTATATTTTGCATTGCCATAATCTCATTATTTTTTTTATTTTTTAAGTAAACCTCACAGCCTTTATCATCCGCTTGATGATTACGATAACATAGACAGCATATCACTAATTCGCTTTTACATACCTCTATTTTATGTTCATCTTCACATATTCTACAACGTATTTTACTTCTACATTGTGCCTGTGAGTGGCCATGCATCTAGCAATTATGGCACTGTATTACTCTTTGAATATATGATTCAACCCTACAACTAACTGAATGTATATAAGCTCTTTCCGATAACTTATTACCTCTAAATACAATTTTGACTCGCTGTGATGTCACCTTTTTAGTTTCATTATTTTTTCCTTTTAAACATTTACTGCCTAAGATTTCTGTTTTATCTATTTCTAGGTCAATATATCAAAGATAATTCCCGATCTCATTAATTTATGTCTAGGTATATATGCATTATTGTCAAATATTTCTCTTATTATTCTATTTGCACAGTTATAATTTCTCAATACTATGTTTAGTTCATTTTTATCAATTGATCTGATTTCTTCTATATCCTTACTTAGATTTATTAAATGTTTACGAAAGATCCTTCCTACTGCCATTAGTTGAAATCTTCCAATATTTTTATCTTTACTTTCAGCATGCACTATAAATCCGTTTTCTGATAAAATTTCGTTTTTTTTTAATAGTTTCCAAATCGTTTTTCCTATTTATTATTGCCGATTTATCTCTAATATTAGTTGTATCATTAACCCAATGAATTTTGTCACCTTCTGTAACATAATATGTATTGTTATCCCACTCCAATTCACTTTCACTATTTGTATTAATATCAGCATCAGATAAGGAATGTGACTCACCGCCACCCGAGTCAGGTGGCTCGATATCCATAACTCGTTATTATTCCATTCTTCTCTACAATCAAAATAATACTTTTAAATAAATATTTTAAACGATGTGATTGCTTCGGTTCGGTAACCGAGTTTCGGTAAACTCGACTGCATGTGGCATCATATCAAATTCTTTTTTGATATCAATATTTATTAGACCCGCTTGTTTATGTTTTTCTGTATTATAGAAAGCTACTAAATTTATAACATCGATATAATATATTTATTTTCTCCATTTTTCTTTTCTTCTCATTGAAAATATTATTAATAATTTTATTGTATTTTTCAAGCATGGTTTTCTATGTTTGGTATTGATTCTTTTTTATAGAAATATTTGTATAATTTTTCCATTTCTTTCATTATATCTTTACTGTATTGTAATAAGTTGTTTCCCAAGTTATACATTGATTTATTATATTTATTTTCTCCATTTTTCTTTTTTTTTGCTATTTCGTATATTGTTAAACGTTCATCTTCTGCTATTGTTTGTGTTCTTGATCTTATTTTGATTGCTTCATTTTTTAAATCATATAATTTTCTAATCGTTGCTTTTATTTCTTTAATTATTTCCCACATACCTCCGGTTTCTTTGTGAATTGAGACAGCCTTATTCCATACTTGCTCAAAATAACTGATTGTAATATTGAAATCTGTGGCATTTTGTATCGAAATACCTTCTTTTTTGCCACCATTCTATTAATTTGGTTTTCTATAATTTTCTATAAATTTATTGTCTATAAATATTAAATTTTAATATTTTGTAGTACATTTTCCAATAGCTTTCTCCTAAATTATAAAGATTTTTTTTTTTTTTTGTCAATCAAAACTTTATTCAAGTTTTATAATACAAAATTGTTGAGTATATAAACAAACAAAAAATTAAACCTAAATACAAAATGTACTGTAAATAATAAACAAAACATTAACAAAATAAAGTTGCAAAATATAGAAACAATAATATTAACATTAACTATGGCAGGAACTGAGCATTAACTACTCCGTCGAGTGGTGAATGCTTCTGTGATTATAGATGAGGAAGGTCATCGGGCCATTTCTTCTTCAGTCTTCTTGTTGGGTTGGGCAGAGATTTGATGATGGGATTTATGTGGAGTTCTAATTTCTTGATGTGGGATATGCTTCTTGATTTTATATATTCTGCAACGGTTGGAATATTTAGGTCTTTGTGGAGGCAGTAGTTGGATATATACCACAGTGCGTCAGTGAGGATTCTTAAAATTTTATTTTGACATGTTTGTATAATTTTGATGTTGGAATTGCATGCGCAACCCCACAGTTCTATACCGTAAGTCCAAATAGGAATAATTATGATTTTGTAAATGAGTACTTTGTTCTCGAGAGAAAGATCTGATTTTCTTCCTATAAGCCAATACAGCTCCTTGATTTTTATTTGAATTTGTTTTTTCTTATATTCAATATGGGTTTTCCAATTTAGTTTTGAGTCAATATGTAGTCCGAGGTATTTCACACTATTGGAGGAAGGAATTATTTTGTTATTTAAATGAAGAGTTGGATTATTATGACGTTTTAAGGAAATGATGAGATGTTGGGATTTATCGGTATTGATTGTAATATTCCATTTTGCAAACCATTCTTGAAGTGTTAGTAAGTATTTTTGGACCTGTAAATTGGCTAATGAAATATCTTTATGTTTTGATATTAAAGCTATGTCATCAGCAAATGTGCTGATAGTTACTAGCTCATCAGTAGGCATATCATGCGTATACAGGAGGTATAATAATGTGCTTAGCACACTGCCCTGTGGAACACCGCATTCTATATTTCTGATGGTAGAGGTCTCGCCTTTTATTTTTACACGAAATTTTCTGTTATGAAGGAATGATTTTAGGATTTTAAAGTAAGATGGAAATGTTAAAAGGATTTTGTATAAAAGACCGGAATGCCACACCTTGTCAAACGCCTTGCAAACATCTAAAAATACAGACACACAGTGTTCCTTTTTATTTAAGGCTTCCAGGCTGTAATACACGATCCTGTTGCACTGTTGTGTAGTGGAGTGTTCTCTTCTGAAGCCGAACTGATGGTTCGGTAGCCAGTTTGCGTGAGGATAATCTTCGAGCAATCTGCGATGTAGAAGTTTCTCCATTAGTTTGGAAAGAATTGGCAAAAGGCTGATTGGTCGATATGAAGAAGTGAAGTGAGGGTCTTTGTTTGATTTCGCTATCATAATAATTTCGACTGTCTTCCAAGCAGTAGGCCAATAATTAAATTGTAATATGGAATTATAGATATTAGTTAAAAATAAAACTGATTTCATGGGCAACTCTTTTAGCATTCTTGGCGTTATTTTATCTAATCCTGGAGCAGACTTATTTTTTAAATTCTTAATTTTTTCGAAAACATTATTGGGTGAGAAGTGTCTTATGAAGGATGATTGGATATTTGATTGCAGTAGTTGTTCTATTTCTAAATTTGGAGTTATGTTTTGAGCACTAAAAGTAATTCCAGGTGATCAGCAAATGCTCCGCTTTTTCTTTTGTACTCTTCGCCCATTAAAGCTGTTTTGATGTGATATTTTTAAAGGATAATTTATTTGAGGTGGTTTGCCCTTTCGTTTAATAGGTTGCCAAATTGAGTTGTCGAATCTATTAAGTTCCATCAGATAGGATTTGAATGAGAGATTTTTTCCATTCCTTTATTTTTTTCCTCAAGATATTATTGAGATGGTTGAAAGAAGTCTTATCTGAAGGCTTATGCGACTGATGCCAAGTGCGTCTCGCTTTTCTTTTTGCTATTAATAAATTTTTGATCTCAGTAGGAATTGTTATTTTTAACTTCCCGAAG